AAATTAGAAATTATTGATTATTTGTCTCTTACCAATGGAAAATGAGATTTCAGCTGCCACAATTGGAATCGATTGTTGCCTCGATCGGGATCTCGTCGTACCATATCATCTGCGGAGAAATTCACCAATTTCAGTTCAAGTTCCATTGCCTCGTACATCTCTTTTTCGGCCAGTTTAGGTTCCGCTCCTTAAAAACAAAGCTCATTATTTTTCTTATTGTAAGGTCGTCGTTGCAGTGGAGATTACGGTAGCGATTATGGAAGAAGCTGTGGTTTTGGTATTACGTCTACGGCATTCATTTAGTCTGGTAAGTTCATCGACCTCGTCGGTATCGCTACGATCCAAGGTTCCAGTGGGCTTCTAACCATAAGACCCATGACGGCAAGCGGCCATTATACGGGATGTCCGTTATGAAGCTAACTTTGCTCTGGAAATCTCAAGCTACCGTAGCGCTATGGCGGCATACCGTAACACTGTCGCGGTCTACTGTAGCGTGGAATTGATTACTTAATTTCAGTGTGCATTTAGTATAGCTTCATTTCAAAGATTAAGAGTGTTTGAGAACCTTTTATCTATTATTTCTATCGCCCATCATAAGGGGTCACTGAGGTTTAGTTGTGTGGCTACCTCAGCCATCCTCTATCCGCGTGAGAAGCCTTAGAGCACAGCCGATCAGATAGCTTCAAAGGTGCCAAACGAGTGATACCTATGCCAGGGGAAGAACGCTTTTCGGGGGAGGGGGAGGGGGGGGGCTGGTGCGTGAGGCACTTTTTATGTGGCAAAGTTTGAGCAGCGAGGTCTAGAGCTTTCAGGGCGCAGACGAAAGCGGAACGTGACACTTCTTAAAGGACAGTGTTCAGGTAGCCCTTAAAATTACACCTTAAGTTCTGAAGCGGCCATCTGTGATGCGTAGTATTGGAGTAAGACCTAGTAAGACCTATCTGGTACTCAATGCTTCCTTGGAAAGGGCCTGTTATCAAATAATGTTTTTTCTAACTTCTATCCTCAGGTCCGACCTATCAAAGATAGTGGCCCAGGAATATAAGAGGTCTGCCGCTCGGAAACAAAGCAGAG